AATATGTTTATCAACTTGACTATCAGATAAAATGCAGCAGGTCTGTCCATTAGCAGTGAAGTAAAAAGCAACTGTGGATGAAGTTCTGAAACAGTCAGTCTGTGAAAAATTTGGAAACGATTTCAAGCTGTAAATGTTTGAAATAAAAATGTTAATGACTTGCCAACAAGAAAATATTTGTTCATCAATACCTTGCCTGATAACAACATTTGAGCATGATGTGCAGTGCTATCGTCTATTATTGTTTATTTGGTCAATTTAAGCTATTAATGTATTTTTTTATGAGACAAGTGAGCACATACACACACATATTTCCTATTACTATATCAAAGGATTCTTATTAGTAAATCTATACTGGAAAAAAAACATAGGAATCTGATAATGAAAATTGTAAGTAATCACAATATGCTGTAGTAGTTATTTATGGCACGCTGTCAGTTTGCTTTGGTCTTGAAGTCAAAGTCCAAATGATTTATATGAATACAATGACCAGCACCAGAATACCTTAAGATGTTCATTACTGATACAAGAAAGTCATGATGACTGCTACATTTACAAGACATCAAGATCATTCACTTCACTAAAACCTATAGAGCTCTGTCTATATGATATTATAGTAAACTAAGGAAAAATATAATTCTAAAAGCATATTGAACTCAGGAATAAAATATGAATTTTTAAAGCAAGTCACTTGATGAAAATGTTCATATTATGACATTTTTTGGATAATAATTACCACAATTTGCTGCTTTTTTTTTAAGTATTCATGATCTAACATCAACGTTTACAAATCTTGAAAATTGCGTCTTGTATCATAATAGTTGCATCAACACATGCAATAATCTATATAAATAAAACTATAATAATGATACTCTTATCTTTAGTGACACCAGTTATATATGTATCCTGAGGACAATATAATACAAAAGAAAGCATAACATTCCACAATAACAAATAAAAATGTCATTTAAACCTACGAAGAAACAGAACCAAAATAACATCAAAAGAGACAAAAGCAAGAGATAATCACGATAATCAAACACAGAATCTGCAAATGCAATTATTATCCTTAAAACTCACCAATTACGCTAAAATTGACGCCCAAGTTGTCCCCATCTGCGCAGTGCACTGGTATGAGTCTTCTCTGCTGAGAAAAAGGGTAGAAAGCGGAAGAAAATCGTTCATTAGGTCAATAATAACTTGATTTTTCTGGTAAGTCGCTCAGCTGATTGGCGTCGTCTGCTGCGAGGTGCGGGGTTATTTTCTTTTTCTTTTTGTCTTTTTCTTTTCTTTGTAATTCTGGGGATTCATTTAAGTGGATTGGGGGGGTTTTGCTTTTTTCATTGATGTTTCAAATTGTTTATGTTTAGGTATGTGTGTTCTTTTTGGTATAAAGGGCTATTTTATTGACGTCGTCTGCTTAGAAATTGGAGCAAGGTATTTTTTTTTTATTTTGATTATGGGTGATTGTTGTATGATTTTGTTTCTGATTATAACTTAATTTAACTTACGTATGTGTCTTACTTTTTTTCTTCTTATTATATATATAATTGCTGGGCTATTGGAGTTTAGAGTTGAACATACTGATGCAGCAGAAAAAAAAAAATCAATATTATAGATATCAATACCATGTTTGCCGACTATCAAATAATTATTTTTCGGCAAATTTCTTGACTCAAGCTATTTTTCTTTGTTTGCCAAAAAAAAAGAAAAAAAAGAAAAAGAAAATTCCTTAGCATAGCAAGATTATATCGGATCTAGCGGTCGATAATGCAAAAAAAAACGAAACAAAACAAAACAAAACTAGACATCTACATAAACCCAAAACAAGCCAATTCATCTGAATAAATATCACACAACGTATATTAACACCAATAATATCTTATGGGAAAAAGAGACACATATGTATAAAATATAAAGGTTCGTCGAGCGGCCGCTAGATGGCAACATTGACGCAACATCACACGGCTGCAAAAAACGTCGAGAAACACCGGTATGTGACTATGTTTTTCTCGTATTTTATGTCAATTACTGTTATTTCCTCTTAATCAGGTGAATGTCGATTAATTTTAGCGTGGCTTTAGTTCTCTGACAGAATAACGTTGATTGACAGGTACGTAGAGGTGAATGAACGAGGCTGTGTGCTGCTAGTGAACGAAGGTTTTTTGATTATATTTTATTTAGTTTTGATCAATATGCAGGTTTTATTACTATTTTTTTTTACAGTGTTATTGTTTTGAAGGATTTTTGTTGTTGGTTTGTAATTTGTATTTTTTTTAGGCTCGTTATTCTAATTGTATATTATTTTAGGTGCGTATTTCTCCGATTTTTAAATATTTTTTTCTCTCGTTTTTTTATGGGGAGATTTATTATGTAATTAGTTTTATTATTTAATTATTTTAATTCGATTATTTGTTCGGCTTTACTATTATCAAATCCTGGAATGACTTCATTAAGATCTGGATTACGAATCTATTTTTTTTTTTTTTGAATATTTATATATCTACACGTTTGTATATTTGAATAATTATATTTTTATTATGGTTGCAATGCCGGGCTTGCAAACTTCCTTGGGTGATTTACTACTAAACTTTGCCTGTCAGAATAGAAATTTAGTTGACCTTTGCCGGAGCGCCGAAAATAGACTTATCTCGTCACTCGCTTAACCAATAAAGATGGAAAATGCAAATAAACTCGTCACTCGTTTAATCAATAAAGAAGAAAAATGCAAATAAACTAATCGAAATAAACTAACCATTTTACTTTGTTTTATTTTTCATGTGATTGGCTTTACTTTCGTCTTTATTTTAGTTAGTCTTATGAGATTTTATTTATTTTCTTATGTAATTTGGTATTTTTAGTGTTTTTATATATTTGTTTTATGTTATTTTTTTCTTATTTAATTTGTTATATTTCCGTTTTTATCAATTTCATTTTTTATTTATTATTATTCTTTTAGGTATATCTGAAACTGATCATGCC